TTTTTAAATCAGTTTGGCTATCATTTTATTCAGTTAAAAATATTTTTAAAATCTCATATATTTCTTTTTTGACCCATGTTGTACTTAGAAGTATACAGTTTAATCTTCATGTATTTGGGGATTTTCTAGTTATCTTTCTTTCATTGATTTCGAGTTTAATTCTTTTGTGGTCTTCTTATAAATTTGTTAAGATGTTTATGGAAAAAGAATGAGATACTGCCATTTGTAGTAAAATGCTGGACCTAGAGACTATCACACTAAGTGAAGTAAGTCAGAGAAAGACAAACAGCATATGATATCACTGATTTGTGGAATCTAAAATATCATACAAATGAACTTATTGACAAAACACAAACAGGCTCATAGATGTAGAAAAACTTTTGGTTACCAAAGGTAAAAGATGGGGGGATATATTAAGAGACTGGGATTAACACATATGCACTACCATACGTAAAACAGATAACTAGTAAGGACCTGCTCTGAGCACAGGGAACTCTACTCAACCATCTGTAATAACCTATATGGAGAAAGAATCTAAAAAAGAATGGACATATGCATAGCTGATTCACTTTGCTATATACCTGAAGCTAGCATAACATTGTTAACCCACTATATCCAGCAATAAACAAAATAATTACGATACAAATGAACTTACCAACAAAACAGAAACAGACCCACAGACATGGAAAACAAACTTATGGTTACCAAAAGGGAAAAGGGGGAAAGGGGTTAAATTAGGAGCTTGATATTAGCAGATACAAACTATTATATATAAAATAAACAACAAGGTCCTCCCTATATAGCATAGGGAACTATATTCAATATTATGGAATAAAATATAATGGAATATATACGTATATGTGTGTTTGTGTATATATATGTATATAAATGGAATCACTTTGCTATATGCTAGAAATGAACATAACATTGCCAAATTAGCTATACTTGAAGGGGAAAAAAAAGATGTGTTTTATGGCCCAGAACATGGTCTATCTTGAATGTTGCATGTGAACTTAAGAAGAAATGCATATCCTGTTGTTGCCAGGTGAAGCAGTCTATAGGCATCAATTATAGCCAATTGATTGATGGTGTGATTGAATTCAATTAGGGTCTTACAGATTTCCTGCCTGCTGGATCTGTTCATTTCTGACAAAGGGATGCTGAAGTCTCCAACTATGATAGTATTCATCTACTTCTCTTTGCAACTGTACTAATTTTTGCCTCACAGTTTGAGACTCTATTGTTAGGTGCATACACATTAAGAATTTTTATGCCTTCTTAAGAGAACCAACCCCTTTATCATCATGTAGTGCCTTCTTTATCAGTGATAACTTTCCTTGCTTTGAAGCCTGCTTCGTCTGAAATTAACACAGCTACTCCTACCTGTTTTGACTAGTGTTAGCACCGTATATTTTTTTCCATTTACTTTTAATTTATACGTGTCTTTATAATTAAAATGGGTTTCTTGTAGACAACAGACAGTCTTGTTTGTTTGGTCCAATCTCTGTCTTATAACTGGTGCATTTAGACCATTGATATTCAAAGTGACTACCAATATATTTGGAGCAACACCATATTCATTACAGTTTTCTATTTGTTGCCCTCACTTTTTGCTCTTATTTTTATCTTCTACTCTTCTTATGCTCTTTGTGGTTTTAATCGAGCAGGTTATGACTCCACTTTCTTCCCTTTTTTAGCACGTAGGTTCTACGTTTTAACCTTCTTAGTGGGTCTCCCCAGACGTGGAGGCAGCGGTCTGCCCTGCGGGCTTCTCTCTCACAGAGCCAGCAAGAGCTGAATGTTCAGTCTCTTCGGTGTTTCGCTCGCTGTTAGTCACAGTGGCAACTTCCAAGACCCTTAACAGGCACAACAGGAAACCTCAAGCTACAGAACTTTTGAAATCACGCTGATAACTAGGACCAATCTCATACAGCAAACCTTTAGATTAAGCACTGGACCCAAGTCCTGGCAATCTGACTAAGCACTGGCCACATGCAGCTCTAAACTGCTCCAGAGACAACAGTTTGCATCTTTCTACTAATACAACAGGCCTTGGGATTAATTCTTAAAATTTCCTAGTGGGAAGGAATTCCATGCTCTAACATGGCATTTCACACAGACCTCTCTTTTAGAATATGACACATTATAGTTGTTGATTTATTTCTTTCTCATATTATAGGCTGAGAGCATAAATTCCACCTTCATCTTATATTCAGTTTACATAGAACAGTTTGGACCATAATAAGGACATATTGCTTACTGAATAAATAGTTGATAATAAAAAACTCTTGACTCCTCTTTTTTCCCCCAATGTGACGGAATTCTAATATGTAATCTTGGTTAAGTCATAAATGAATAAAAATTAAGGAAAATAATGCCAAAGACATTTATTTTTCAAGATTGGTAGTGCCCTCTAAGCTCCACAGATGAGAGACATACAAACTCTTGATCACTGAGCCTCTCTGAAGCCTCAGTTTCTACATCTGTAAAAGAGGGTAATAATGATCAATGTAAACTATGAGGTTATGAATATAAAGTTCTCATTACAATACATACAGTAGACACTCAACAAATTATTCTTTTCATTTCATTATTATTAGCAGCAGCATCAATACTGTCAAACCATCACTTACACTTCAGTACACAGTAGCTACTTGCTTTACAAACTCCTTCAGCTTGACCTTGTTTACAGAGTAAAGGTTACAAGGTAAAAGAAAACCCCAGACTTGGTAAGCCGTTAGGGTTGATCACGTTACTCTAGCCTCTGATGTTACAGCACAGAAACAACACGCTATAGTAAGGAGGTCTAAAAAACCTATCCAAAGTCGATTATTTGAAAGCTGTGAGTCAGAATAACAGAAAAGATGTGGATAGTGTAGTCAGCTAATAACTAACTCAAAGCAGATAACTGTTGACAAACTATGGAACCTACAGCACAAGAACAGCAACTGTCATCTCTAACCTATTAAACCCCTTTGTTGCCTGGGGGACTTTTATCTCTTTATCTTCTCCTTATTTTCCTCCCCTTTTCTTTCTTCACCTCTATCCTGACAATCTATGATTTCTTCTCTGAGTCTCTCTGTTCTTTCTTTTTACCAACTGAAATACAGAATTAATTCATACTCTTAGTATTTATTATACTTTTCAGTAAAATAATGAAAATAGGTTTTAAAGAAAGAAAATCAGGACTCAATTCCAGTTCTAATAATTAGCTATGTAACTTGGGTAAATTAAACTAAACACTTTAGTTTGCTCAAATGGAAAATAGAGATAATAACAGCCTCTTCACATGGTTATAGCAAGAAGTAAATTAAAATTGTAAATTATCTAGCATAAAACCTGACACACAATTCCATAAAGCTAATGTCCTTCTCAATTTCTCTAGAAAAAAATCATCTAATCCTTAGTTAGGTCTTCCACAGTACCTCTTAACAGAGGAGGAGAGCCTCCCATTCCTTGCACATATTCCCATCATTTTTAAAAAATTTTTTAATTTATTTTTATTAGTTGGAGGCTAATTACTTTAGAGTATTGTAATGTTTTTTGCCATACATTGACATGAATCAGCCATGGATTTACATGTGTTCCCCATCCTGATCCCCCCTCCCACCTCCCTCCCCATCCCATACCTTTAGGTCTTCCCAGTGCACCAGCCCTGAGTATTCCCATCATTTTTATGAATATAAATGAACCCAACCATTTCAGATATGGACAATGTCTCTAACTACAGAATTTTACACTGCACTGAAATAAACTGTCCTTCGTCTGGGTCCTCTCCTTGATCTTAAAGACACGTTGGAACAGAAAAATTTAAATAGAAACACAAAGTAAGTAATGATAATTATAAACTATGCATTTAAGAGGCATTTAAACATTACTCATAAAACAGTAATATGAAAGGTATAACACTATGCTTTTAAAGCTGGCTTAAAGCTGCTTCAGTAGTCTGGACCATGTGAGAAAATAATGAACTACCTCACAGGAATAGTTCGCATGTTAAGGAGTCAATACAGTAGCAGGCCAATTGCCAGCTGCCTCTTCCAACTCATTCTAACTCAGTTAACCTCCTAGCTAGAGACTGACTCTACTCTCAAGTGAATTCTACACTGGTATCCAATAAGCATTTGTGAAAATAAACTATTTTAGAGAAGAGACATTAGGAATCAGAACAGACTACTCAAACTTTACTGCACTCAGTTCAGACAGCCATCAGACAAAAGAACCAAAAGGAAAACCACGTGTGGCCACCACATGGCACCTGAGGACAGCCAAGAAGACACTGTGCAGAGGCTGGTGCAGCTCAGAGCAATTCTCTAGCTGCAAACCCCAAACCGCAACGTAGGCAGCAGTGAGTGAACCCGAAGCAAGTTGGGGCTGGGGGAGGGGGACAGAAAGCCATACAGAAACAAGTATAATACATGAAATGACTGCAACTGGGAGAAAGGGATTAGGAGTTACAAGCTACGGGGGGAAAACCATTATTCTATTCAGGTACAAGTTCAGTACCAACAAGGGCTAAAAAGATTACAAAATTCTTTAGGGAAAATAAAACAAAGAAAGTGTTAAATTAAAAACTGAAAACCCAAGGAAAAGGTAAAGATGCATGCTTTAAGGGCATTAGAAAACCAACTTCAACAGCAAGCCCCAAGATAATAACTGGCAAATGGGAGTGGTAGTAAAGTATAATAATTTGAAAAGAACAACATTGGAGAACCAGAAGTACTGGTATGGTTTGGAATTTTATTGAAGATAAAACAGCACATTTTCCTTAAGTTCATAAAAAGATTCACCATGGCATGCAGTTTTTATAAAACATCAAAGTTCTCACCCTAGAGCAACAAAAGTGCTAGATGGTTTCTGAGCCTAAGTTCCAGGAATGCTCAGTTTATTCTCACTGCCCATCTCTGAAGAATCTGAGAGCACTGCAGCCATGGAAAAGCCCCATAACTGATCCACAGCAGGCTTTTTCTGAGGGTAGGCTAGAGTGTGACCATACTTACTGGAGTCCTCCCACTGGAGTAAATGTAGCTTCCATGCAGAATAATACAAAAATCCCAGTACCAGAAAAAGGCAGAGGGCTAGCAGCAGATTGCGTACAAATATCAAGAGTCCCATCTTCACATGATCTACAATTTCCTACATGACCTAAAAAAAGAAAACAACAACAACAAAAAAACAATTTAGGTCTTAACTGATAAAGCAATCATCTTACCGATATACTCTACCTTAAAATAAGTATTTATAGGACAATTTCCAAATGAAGAACAACATGGAATTAGCACTGATTGATGACCTGGCATCCTCTGACCTGCTCAAGCCTGGCTCAAAGGACAGCTTCACCATCACTCAGCATCCAAGCCAGCTGTCATCCTCATGCCTCTCCTCTCACTCACTCCTGACACCGAATCAGTGACCAAACTCTGGCAATTCCAACCTCCCAAGTAAATCTCAAATCATACCCGCTTCCCGCCATCACTCCCCTAGGCCCTGTCACCACCATATTCCCACAACACAAAGTTTCCCTGCCTCCAAATCTGCATCTCCCAAATCCATTTTCCACACAGCACAAAGGGCAGTCTGTCAATAGCACAAAATCTTACACTACTTCCTGGAGTAAACCCCTTTGCGTTGGTATTCTACTGCTGCCCTAGCAAATTACCACAAACTCGGCAGCCTGAAACCACTCAAATTTATTATCTCAAAGCTCTGAAGGCGGCAAGTCCAGGTATAGGATGGCTCAGCAGGGCCCTCTGCATAGGCTATCCCAAGACCAAAACCAGAGGCTCGGGAGGGCTGCTGCGTTCCTTTCTGGAGACTCTGGGGATGAGCACACTTCCAAGCTACTCCAGGCTAATTTCAGTTTCTTACAACTTTGGGGCCCGAGTCCCCATTACCTTGCTGGTCATCAGACAGTCTTTGCTTTTGTGTTCCTCTTCATTATTTTCCATGTGATACCCTTCAGTCACGGTGGGTTAGGTTCTGCTTACACTGATCTCTCCAACTTCCCCTTTAACCACATCCTGCTTCTGTTTCCAGGCACAGGAACCTCCTTGCTTTTCAGGTTCATGTGATTAGACAGGGCCCATTTGAATAATCTAGGGCAACCTCCCTATTTTAAGGTATGAAGCTTTAATTTCATGTGCACAGTCCCGGTTGCCATGTAAAGTGACATATTTACAGATTTCAGGGATTAGTGTGTGGACATCTTTGATTGTTTTTCATTGCTGTTGTTTTGGGTTTTGATTTTTTTTTTTTCTTCTCACAATGCTACGTGGCTTGTGGTATCTTAGTTCCCCAACCAGGGATCAAACCTGGGCCCCTTGCAGTGAAAGTGAGGAGCCCTAACCACTGGACTGCCAGTAAATTCCCATGTGTGGACATTCCCATTCTGCTTAACACATCTTCCATTAAATTCTAAGTTCCTGTAAGGTAAAGTAATTGCTCCTCAGGAGTCTAGCAGCTTCTGACTGCACCCCTATTTACTCTCCAACCACCTCTTGCTCCTCCCGACCTCACTTGTGTCCGATGCTCTAGCCCCTCTTCTTTCTATTCATTGAACAGCTCTTGTTACTCTTCCTCAAGGTCTGTCTGGAATACATACTCTACTACCCTGCTATTTCACCTGCTGCACATTCTTTGATACTCACCTTAAATGTAACCTCAGCCAAGATGACTTCCTAGGATCCCTCTTCCCTACCCCTACTAAGATATCTAAGACATGAAATAATCTATGAGAAATATTATAAATATTATACCCTATGTATAAACATTATACATGAAGTGATAAAAAGTTAGCATCTTCAGAATATATAATCGTCCACCTAAAAAAGCTAAGAGATTCAACTGAAAAACCATTAGAACTAATAGAAAATTGAATAAAGTAGGTGATTATATGATTTACTTACAAAATCCAATAGCTTCTTAAAAACTATACTAGCAATAATCAATTTTAAAAATGTGAGGGGAGAAAATTCCACTCATGATGGCAACAAAATCTACAAAATACCTAAAAATAAACTTCAGGAGAAATGAACAAGATTTTCACCAAAGGACATAAAAGATCCAAATAAATAGACAGGTTTCCAAGTGAGAAAATTCAATAATGGAAACATGTCAGTTCTCCTAAAATGTAGTTCTCTATAAATTTAGTCTAAAGCCAATCAAAACCCATGTTTTTGTTTTTGTTTTTTTAACTTAGATCTAAAGTTAATCTGAGGTCTTCCCAGGTGGCACAGTGGTAAAAGAATCCACTTGCCAATATAGGAGATGCAAGAGACTCGGGTCCAATCCCTGGGTTGGGAAGATCCCCTGGAGGAGGAAATGGCAACCCACTCCAGTACTCTTGCCTGGAAAATCCTATGGACAGAGGAGCCTGGTGGGCTACAGCCCACAGGGTCGCCAAGAGTCGGACACGACTGAGCAACTGAGCATGCATACACACAAGGTTAATCTGAAGAGTTCATGCCCAAGAAGAGTGAAGAAACTTTGTGATGAAATGAGGATTTGCCTTACCATATTAAAACCAACTCAAAGCTATAATTATTAAGCTGGATGGGAACTGGCACAAGAAAAGACAAACAGATCAATGGAACAGAACAGAGTCTAGAAATGAGCTGTCTCAATAAAGAGACACATACAGACATGGATACATACACACATACATAACTGAATTTATCCATATATTTGAATTTACAATAAGCATGTAAGTTTTTTTAAAAAGATACGAAGGATACATAGCTAACTGTTGATGTAGTTACCTTTAAGAAATAGTATAAGACAATGAAAGGTACTTATCCCTTCATAAACTTTGAAAGAAAATTGTTATAGGTCACAAGTATTGCCTCTATAATTTTGAAAATTTAAAAAATCAAACATATGGGACTTCCCTGGTGATCCAATGGTTAAGATTTCGCCTTCCAATGCAGGCGGAGCAGGTTCAATCCCTGGTAGGTGAGCTAAGATCCCACATGCCTTTCAGCCAAAAAATAAAACTTAAAAAAACAGAAGCAATACTGTAACAAATTCTATAAAGACTTCAAAAAAATTAAAAAATTAAAGTCAAACATAAACAAATGGGACCTATTCAAACTTATAAGCTTTGGCATAGCAAAGGAAACCATAAACAAAACAAAATGACAACCTACAGACTGGGAGAAAATATTTGCAAACAATGTGACTGAGAAAGGCTTAATTTCCAAAATACAGGAACATCTCATACAACTCAGTAACAACAACAACAAAATATCAAAAATGGGCAGATTTAAATAGACAGTTCTCCAAAGAATACATACAGATAAGTCAATAGGCACATGAAAAAATGATCAACACTGCTGACTATTCAGTTCAGTTCAGTCGCTCAGTCATGTCCGACTTCTTTGCAACCCCATGAATCGCAGCACGCCAGGCCTCCCTGGGCATACAAATCGAAATGTCATTGAGGTAACAACTCACATTGGTCAGGATGGCCATCATTAAAAAAATCTACAAATAACAAATGCTGGAGAGGGTGGAGAAAAGGGAACCCTCCAACACTGGTAGTGGGAAATGTAACTGGTATAGTCACTATGGAAAACAATAAGAAGGTTCCTCAAAAAATAATTAATTAATAATTAATTGTTAATAATATCAATTATTGTTGTTATAATTATAATTACAATTATAATAATTACAATCCCATGGACGAAGGAGCCAGGTAGGCTACAGTCCATGGGGTTGCAAAGAGTCAGACACGACTGAGCAACTTCACACAAGGTTGGTCAGAACTTTTCTTCCAAGAACCAAGTGTCTTTTAATTTCATGGCTGCAGTCACCATCTGCAGTGGTTTTGGAGCCCCCCAAAATAAAGTCTGCCACTGTTTCATTGATTCCCCATCTATTTGCCATGAAGTGATGGGAAGGGATAACATGATCTTAGTTTTCTGAATGTTCAGTTTTAAGTCAACTTTATCACTCTCCTCTTTCACTTTCTTCAAGAGGCTCTTTAGTTCCTCTTCACTTTCTGCCAAAAGGGTGGTGTCATCTGCATATCTGAGGTTATTGATATTTCTCCCGGCAATCCTGATTCCAGCTTGTGCTTCATCCAGCCCAGCATTTCTCATGATGTACTCTGCATATAAGTTAAATAAGCAGGGTGACAATATACAGCCTTGACGTACTCCTTTCCCAATTTGGAACCAGTCTGTTGTTCCATGTCCAGTTTTAACTGTTGCTTCTTGACCTGCATACAGATTTCTCAAGAGGACAGGTCAGGTGGTCTGGTATTCCCATCTCTTTCAGAATTTTCCACAGTTTGTTGTGATCCACACACTCAAAGGCTTTGGCATAGTCACTAAAGCAGAAGTAGATGTTTGCCTGGAGCTCTCTTGCCTTTTCAATGATCCAACGGATGTTGGCAATTTGATCTCTGGTTCCTCTGCCTTTTCTAAAACCAGCTTGAACATCTGGAAGTTCATGGTTCATGTACTGTTGAAGCCTGGCTTGGAGAATTTTGAGCATTACTTTGCCGGCGTGTGAGATGAGTGCAATTGTGTAGTAGTTTGAACATTTTTTGGCATTGCCTTTCTTTGGTATTGGACTGAAAACTGACCTTCTCCAGTCCTGTGGCCACTGCTGAGTTTTCCAAATTTGCTGACATACTGAGTGCAGCACTTTCACAGCATCCTTCAGGATTTGAAATAGCTCAACTGGAATTCCATCACCTCCACTAGCTTTGTTCATAGTGATGCTTCCTAAGGCTCACTTGACTTCGCATTCCAGGATATCTGGCTCTAGGGGAGTAATCACACCACCGTGATTACAACACATTATAAAAATATAAATTGGTATACTCTTTTAGGAGCAATGTGGAAGTACAGGTATCCCTGTTTTTTGAAAGTTTGATTTACACCACTTTGCTTCCGTGAAACCTATGTCAGTACCTGTTTTTACTAAATGGAATAAATTCAAAGATTTTTACTTTTATGAAAAGAGAGTAGAATAGCTTTCAGTATGTTTTGCATCCAGCAGTTACAGAGGCAGCAAGCACCCAGAGCAGTGAGAGTGGCACCACCAACTTCCTTTCTCAGGAACTATACTCAGCATCTCTGCAACAAGCCAACATGGCTTTGAAATCATTT